CCACAGCCCGAGCTTAAGTCACTTGACCTCGGCTCTGAGACTTGGCACCACAGTGTTTATTTCCAGTGTAGATATAGCCTAAAGTTTGAATGACCTAAAAAGCAATTAAAATATGAAATATGCCTTCAACGGAAAGAGCTTTTGGCTCCAGTTCATCAGGTAGGACCAGGACAGCTGCCTTTCGAGATAGCAACTAGTCATCTTGGTCATCTTGCTCTGCCTCTAAGGAAAAGTATATCTGAGAGAGGGTAGTTTGTGATGGTGAGCAAGCACTGCCAGTACTTTAAACCCTATCTTTGGGCTATTCATAGCCCTATCTTACTTGGCTGATCACTACCTCCAGAAACCATCCTTAATGTCTGCTTAAAGAAGTCTTAAAGAAGAGACCAAGGACAGGGTAGGCCTGTTACTCAGGGGGGGGGCAAAACAATAACAGAAAATGTGGAAATGGCAGAGGTGCTTAATGACTTCTTTGTTTCGGTTTTCATCAAGAAAGTTGGTGGTGATTGAACGTCTAACACAGTGAATACCACTGAAAATGAGGTAGGATCAGAAGATCCTAAAATAGGGAAAGAACAAGTTAAAAATTACTTAGACGAATTAGATGTCTTCAAGTCACCAGAGCCTGATGAAATGCATCCTAGAATACTCAAGGAGCTGACCGAGGAGATATCTGACCCATTAACGATTATCTTTGAAAAGTCATGGAAAACGGGAGAGATTCCAGGAGACTGGAAAGAGGCAAATATAGTGCCAATCTAAAAAACGGGGAAATAAGGACAACCCAGTGAATTACAGACCAGTCAGCATAACTTCAGTACCCGGAAAGAAAATGGAGCAAATAATTAAGCAATCAATTTGCAAACATCTAGAAGATAATAAGGTGATAAGTAACCGTCAGCATATGGATTTGTCAAGAACAAATCGTGTCAAACAAACCTGATACCTTGTCAAAGAAAGCTAACAAGCCTTATGGATAGGCAAATGCAAAGTACTCCACTTAGGAAGGAACAATCAGTTGCACACCTATAAAATGGGAAATGACTACCTAGGAAGGAGCATTGCGGAAAGAGATCTGGGGGGGTCAAAGCGGACCACAAGCTAAATATGAGTCAACAGTGTAACACTGTTGCAAAAAAAAGCAAACATCATTCTGGGATGTATTAGCAGGTGTGTTGTAAGCAAGACACTAGAAGTAATTCTTCCACTCTGCTCTGCACTGATTAGGCCTCAACTGGAGTATTGTGTCCAGTTCTGGGCACCACATTTCAGGAAGGATGTGGACAAAGGATGTGGACAGGAGAGTCCAGAGAAGAGCAACAAAAATGATTAAAGGTCTAGAAAACATGACCTATGAGGGAAGATTGAAAGAATTGGGTTTGTTTAGTCTGGAAAAGAGAAGACTGAGAGAGGGGACATGATAACCGTTTTCAAGTACATAAAAGGTTGTTACAAGGAGGAGGGAGAGAAATTGTTTTTCTTAACCTCTGAGGATAGGACAAGAAGCAGTGGGCTTAAATTGCAGCAAGGGAGGTTTAGGTTGGACATTAGGAAAACTTCCTAACTGTCAGGGTGGTTAAGCACTGGAATAAATTGCCTAGGGAGGTTGTGGAATCTCCATCATTGGCGTTTAAGAGCTGGTTAGACAAACACCTGTCAGGTATGGTCTAGATAATACTTAGTCCTGTCATGAGTGCAGGGGACTGGACTAGATGACCTCTCAAGGTCTCTTCCAATCCTGTGATTCCTTGTGGCACATTGCTGTGGATACTCCATTCAGAGGGCCATCTTTGCAAGGTGTCTGAGTTCTATGGCATGCTACCATCATGCATGTTTTTAGTGAGGGTTTTGAGAAAACGAGAAGCCAGTACCCTGAATGCACAAATCTGTCCATAGAAGCCATCTGAAGTAGATGACAGAATTTGGGAGTCTGTCCTCAGATACAGAAGTCTGTAGCTTCTCATACCAGAGAGGTCAACTGGTTTCTGTAGAAGTCGTCCCTTGTGAACTTCAATTTATTTTGACTATCAAGATAGCTTCTTACTATAGCCGCTTAGTCTGTATAGGGTGACCAGAGGAGATGAAGAAAATATCGGGACACCGGGGGGGGGGGAGCCGAGTGCTGCCAGCCGGCCGAGTGACAAAAAAAAAAAAAATCCGAGTGAGTGATCCCGGTGGCGCAAAATATCAGGACAAAAATTGCAGTCCTGACCAAAGATCGGTTGGGACGCGGGACAAACAGCTCAAAATTGGGACGGTCATGATTTTATCGGGACATCTGGTCACCCTAAGTCTGTAAGACACAAGTTCACTTATGGCCCCTTCAGTGAAGGACAAACTTTTGTAGGTTCAAAAGTATAAAGTGACTCTGAGAATAGTTCACAGGTTTAGGCTCATATTTTTAAATTTCAGACATCAGGATACCACTTCACTGTCATTCTGCCCAGAGAGCCAAAATCTCAGAGGAAATTTCATTAAGGTGCCAGGAGCCCACTGAAATCTGTCCAGTTCTTGAAATTTTACAGATCTGTTAACTTACTTTGTTTGGCGAAGCCAAGAAAAGACTGGCAGCCTCGAAGTTGTGTATATAAAGGAGGTCTGTGCAAGAATAAATTTGTGTATCGTTGGGCTCTGTCAGCCAAAGAAATGGCTACTTCAGGGCTTTCAGGGAAATATCAAGAAGACTTTTGCAAGGAGCATGTTAGGCACTCAGTACATACATGTGCCTGATATCAAGGGAGGGCATCTTACCCTCCTCTTCTAATTTTCATCTGGTTTCCTCCCCTCACTATACAAACCTATTCTGGTCTCTTCCAGCCTAAAAAGGAAAAAGTCCTTGACCCCATCTGCCTCTCTAACTTACACCTCATCTTCCTTTCACCTTCAAACTCAAATACAGTCTACATCCATTGCCTTCAAGTTCCTCCATCTCCACCCTTGATCCTCTCCCGTGAAACTGTTCTCTCACCCAGATATCTAATGACATCTTCCTGGCCAAATCTCTACTCCAGGGGTCGGCAATCTTTCAGAAGTGGTGTGCCGAGTCTTCATTTATTCACTCTAATTTAAGGTTTCGCGTGCCAGTAATACATATTAACGTTTTTAGAAGGTGTCTTTCTATAAGTCTAATATAACTAAACTATTGTATGTACAGTAAATAAAATTTTTAAAATGTTTAAGAAGCTTCATTTAAAATTAAATTAAAATGCAGAGCCCCCCGGACCAGTGGCCAGGACTTGGGCAGTGTGAGTGCCACTGAAAATCAGCTCGTGTGTCACCTTTGGCACACATGCCATAGGTTGCCTTCCCCTGCTGTATTGTATTATTTAAAGTTATGGTTATGGAGAACATGCCAAAGTTCTTAGCCAACTGGAAAAGAGCTTTATATTTAAGATGTATAGCTTCCACTTCACTGAAGGATCATTCTCATATATAGTCATTTCAACCATGCCTAGTCTTTATTTGGAAATATAGACGACGACATTCATTATACTAACTCAAACGGTAACACATCTCTACCTGTAATAGTGGAGGACTAAGTGACTGCACAATTTCAAGTAATGTGTGGGACTTGAAGGGCCTACTCATAATCAAGGACAAAATGAGGAGGGCGTGGGATGGAAGTATCCTAGAATGCAGATGGCCTAGAGGAAAAGATGTCTGAGATGGAGGACAAGTCCTGTGGAGAATCTTTAAGATTTGGAATAAGATCTTAAAATGGATTAGGAAGCTAATTAGGAAGGTGGGCAAGGGGAATGGGCGTTTTGTGTTCCTTCTTGCAGAAGAGACACTCGAAATTTGGAGAACTTGAGCCTTAGGACATCATATAAGGGAGGGAGTGGCAATTTTCCAGGCAAGAAGCAATGAAGAAATGAATAAGTCCTGGGAGAAGTGTGATCAAGATGTCAAGTGTGGGTGGTGCTTAGATAGACAAACTTGCCTCTTCACCTGTACAATTTTGGAGTTAGCCTGGGCCTTCTAGGCATATAATGAGCAGAGTGAGTTTGGTAGACCAACATGCTGACCAACATTCTCATTTTCTTTCCCTGCCTATATCCATCTCTTCTCTCTTACTTACATTGGAAGCTCTTTGGGAGAGGGACAGGCTTTTTGGCCCGGATTTGTACAGCACCCAGCACAATGGGGTCCAAGTACATGACTAGAGATCATAGGTGCTACAAACAATAATGAGGTTAATTTAATCTTAGTTCACTAACTGCTGAAAAATGTGCCCCTGGGTGCTGTTTAGCAGATGTAATCTTAAAGTGCAAAGCAAGTTAGTTTTATTGTGACATTCTTGTCGCTGTCAAACCATAGAATTTCTCATTTCTGTAAACTAGAAGTCAGAACAAAAAGCATTATCAAAATAGTAACTATATTTAGTTCAGACCACACTTCTTAGACTGCCTGAGTCTTGAAATTGAAACACTTCTGTTGCTGTGTTTTCTAAAGACCTGAGGTATCAATTGTTCTCTTGCTGTATTGCTACTGAATGTTGACAAGTCTTAACTGTATGTTTCTGCAGTACCAGATGCCTCTAAATGCCTTACGAAAGCTGCTTAATATTGAGATTGAAAGTTTATAGAAGACCTTTGTTGGAAAGACCATTTTAGAAAAAGTTTAATCCTAGAGCAAATGTTAAGCTTAGGTCTTTTTGTTTGTTCCAAAAACCCCTACAGCTTTGTAAAGCATTTTATCTAAAAAAAAAATAATCATGTACTTAATGGTTCTGATGGGCAATATTTTTCCAGATAATACTGGATGCAAAACCTTGAAATACAATTGTCCATAAACAGGGGCTTTGGTGAAGTGAACAGCAGAGGACCCTAGGGTCAAATATGACTTGTACATTTGAAAGGTCACATAGCTATATATAGCTAAGCCAAGGTTTCCATTGAAATTATTCAAACGAGGGCTCACTTCTCTTCTGTAAACTGCTTACCAAGTGTGCTCCTTTTTTGTGGCTACTTTCTGCTGTTAACCACTGTCTCTCTTTACAGGATTCATGAATAAAATTTTCCATCCCAATATTGACGAAGCGTAAGTAAATCCTTAGTATGTGGTATTTCTGATTAGCGGTATTAGTTAATTCTAGTTGTTTTGCTTTCATAAGAAAGCCAAAGCCGTTTTTTCATAGTGTGCTAATGGGGCTGGATAAAGCGGTCATCTAACACTAACAGTCCAGGGTAAGAATTTGATCTGAGAGGATAGTGTTTCATAAAACTACCCCACAGGTAACTTTTCCGGCAGAGTTCAGGCTGTATGAAGTACTGGGTAGGAAACATACTGCAGAAGTTTTCCTTGTGTGATCTATGCATAGGCAACATTGGGTGCTTTTATAAATAAATGAGGCAGATGTTGTGGCATAGAAGGACCAGGGTTGCTAGTTCCCCTTTTCAAAGATACCTTCTCAAGACAATAACTCTAGCTAGACTCTCCAGCCTCTCTGTTGGTAAGCATTAGTCCATAAATTATGTAAAATACATACTAGAAAACCCTTCTTAAAGGAAATCATAAAAATCTGGTCACTTCCATATAGTCAGTTTGTTGAGATCTGTTGAATCAGGGGTTCTCAGCCTTTTTCTTTGAGACCCTCCCACAACATGCAATAAAAATTTCAGGGCCCAGTGGGGGGACACTAGGGGCTCTGGGCTGGGAGGGGCTTGGGCATAGGTGTAGTTTGACTTCTGTTTGGGGGGGGGGCCCAGGGGCCAGGAGGGCTTGGGCCAGCTCTGTACGGCAGGGTCCAGGGAGGGAGTGCCCCCTCCACCCCCAGCTCGCCTCAGCAGGCCACCCAGCCTGTTTGGGTTGTGGGGGGGCCAACTAAAAATTATAACTCAAAGGTGCGGGGCTCAGCTCAAAAAGTTTGAAGAGAGCTCAGAGTGCAGGGAGAGGGGGTGGCTAGGGGCTGTGTGCAGGCACGGGGATAACTCGGTGTGGGGAGAAGGGTAGCTAGGGGCTGTGTGGGCGGGGGGTAGCTCAAGGTGCAGGGAGAGGGGTAGCTAGGGGCTGTGTGGGGAGGGGGTAGCTCAGGGTGCAGGGAGAGGGTAGCTAGGGGCTGTGTGGGGAGGGGGGTAGCTCAGGGTGCAGGGAGAGGGTAGCTAGGGGCTGTGTGGGGAGGGGGGTAGCTCAGGGTGCAGGGA